CATCCATGAAAGTCCAAGTGTAAGCACCCTCTAAGAGGCATATAGTGCAGTCAAATACATCCATGAAAGTCCAAGTGTAAGCACCCTCTAAGAGGTATATGGGTCGTGCCGCGAAGCCCACGGATATTCGAGGGTACCCATGGTTCCATGGGCCTTACCCAAGGCAGGTCCACAGATACCCAGACAGATGGGCCCTTGCTGTGAAGCTGAGACCTAGCCCAGACTCCAGGTGTAGCAAAAGCCAACAGATACTACCATGTCTCCCAGAGTCTGTGTCAAAGAAGATTAAGTATGAAGTTAGTGAGAAACAATCACAGAACTGTGACAAGTTGGAAAGGAACAGAAAATGGGGTTTCGTGACAGACTAAGTAGGACTTTAACCGACTGACACCAGGATGGTGTTTTATATATGCAGTGGACCGAGAGCCCAGATGGCAGGCCCGTCTCAACTGATGTGTGCGCCAAGGTTCTGATAGGTATACTAAGACCAGACATCCTGCATGGTGCTTGACACACATGGGGAATGTTCAGGCTAACAGTGGATGCAAGTGGGGACACAAGGGGAGTGTCATGAGGGAAGGCCAGGTACTTCACACAAGGGTTGTGAGAATGCCACAGCGGATTGCAAGATGCTTTACACACAAGTTGGGGGAGTGGAGTGAGTATCATCAAGTGTTGATCCAGATTCACGTCTGATCTATATGGTTCCAAATTGGTACAAACATAAGGTCCAGCACAGAACCATGTCCTGTACAATTATGTTATCACGGCAAGGATGCTTTATGCCCAAAGAGGATTGAGAAAAAATGCAGTACACACAACCGATGGGGTGGCGAGCCATGGTGTTGTTGAAAGCTGCTAAACATGAGCAAGGAGAGCAAGCCACGGTGTTGAGGAAGGTTGAGAGCTGCTAAACATGACCAAGGCCACGGGGAAGGGGGCGGGGGTGGCAAGGGGGGAGGCAGTGCCAAGGGGGGATGGGAGAAGCGTTTCACACATGCCGTGGGAGAGCCAAGGGAGTTGCATGATGCTCTACCCAGTCTGATTTTCTTTTTTAGCAAAGGGGATAATACCACCCTACCCAGTCCCAAAAGTATATGATAGGATACAGTCAAGGTTGGGGCCTTCTTCACCGCCTTCCCCCCTTTTTTTGTCCTTCTTTTTGGTTTCCTATCTACACTAAACTCACAATCGAACAACAACCCGTCCATTGCAACTTCGTAAAAGGGATACCACTACAAGATCACCTCACATATCTCTCCCACAGGCTTCACAACGTGCTGAGTGGGGACCACCGTCCCTAACAATACCTCTCAGTATGTCGAGAACACCCAGCTTCACATCCGCGTCGTCAAAATTGCAATCCAAGGCAGAAACCCATCTACACATAAGCCATTCAGCATGCAGTGTAACAACCTGTCCCCGGCAAAGCACAGTAGGTTGGCATTCACATCCTCGACTGCGTCTGCATTTCTCTCGAACCAGAGCCTCCCCTGAGCATTATTGGCGCTCCTGGAGGACTCCTACCCAGATTAATACCTACCGTTAGCTTTCCAATAGCAAACAATGTTGCTCCTTTTGGCCTTGCTGCTACAGCCCCCACCGCTCTGGCTGCTTTCACTCCACTCAATGCTCCCTCCTCTTCCACCTCCTCTTTCCCATCTCCACCTCCTCCTCCTCTTCCTCCTTTCCCATGCTGCCCTACATCCTCCTCAATTCTCACCTCCCATACGTGTATTTTTTTACCCTTGAGAAGAGGCTTGGCAACCCCAATTACATTCGTTTCCAGAGGGACTGGCCGCAAATGGCTGACACTGATCTCCAACCCTGCCACCCGCTGCTTGCTTGTGACTGCTGCTGCCGAGCTGGCGATGGCCTCCACTAAGACAGCAGACACACCACCATGGAGAAGGCCCCATGGCTGCACAGCTCGCTCAGTCACTTTCATACGGGCAAGAAATACATCTGGGGCTTGAAACTCAAACGTTATCCCCAAAAACGCATGGATAGGTAAATTCCCCATTCTGGGATACCATTCCTCAGCATCCGCAGCCCAATTTCTAGTGGGATGTTCCATGTTGACTACCGAAACAATATACCCAGGTCATTGAACTCCTTTCCCTCTGTTTTCCTCCCCTTTCCCCCTGCCTTTACCACCGTGTGCCCCAGTCAGGCAGCTAACTGCATGTAACATGGCTGCCACATGTGATGCCACAGTGACAGCTCTCAGGGAGCAATACGCGGATTGGCCAGGTTGCCAAAGTGACAGCACTTAAAGGGTGTAACAAGTAAATTACCCTGGCCTGCCACCTCATAGCAGAGGTCGCTCTAACCTCGCCTTATCTCATGTCACACTTTGCTTCCGCGTTTCCCTCGAACTCAAGGGTGCAGTGCCCTTCCGCGCGCATAGGTCACCTATCTGACAAAAGTTCCCGATAAAAATTGGTTGTGGATACCTTCTTATGACCGGTATCATCATCTGGCCCACAAGCTTACCATGGCGCAGTGATACGACGGTTCAATGCGGCTTAGCATGCAGATTGTCAGCCATCCCAGTATAGTTTTCACTCAGTGTCCTTGGCATTGCAGTTTTGGAGCTATCAGGCGAATTAATGCAGACAACCATACTCGAGGCATCTCTGTGTCACCTCAAACGATTTCAAAACAGAGTGCCATGTGCCACTTAGATATGGCTTCCAAGATGAGAATGGTATCCATGACACTTTGGTTCCTCGATAAAATAATTAGCATCCACTGTTGAAATCGCAGATTTTCCAAAAGACTGGTTGGCGCCAAGAACAAACATACAAGCGACTTAACATCCTGTCAAAACCACGTTGCCACAATCATGAGATCAGCACCAAGGACGGTATGAGATGCATCAAGGGCGAAAGGGGTGAAGACATGAGAGGGCGGAAATGGGCCACGCATTTTGGTTTGGGTAGATTGCAGTAGTGCCACAAATGGGAAAAGTGATAACAAGAATAACGAGCCCAATAGCTCATCCTGCAGCAGCTACAGCTAATACGAATAAAGCGTGCAAGAAGAGGACGAGGTGGAAAAAGTGGGAGGAGAAGGTAGATATAACATGCTAAGGACTGACATTCAACTCAGCAGGAAAGGGAAGAAAGCTTCGTAGAAAGCGGGACCCTCGAAATAAAAGCAGAAGATCCATCCATAGACTACTCATCATGACGATGCTTGACAGTCCGAGCAGACATCTTTATCTAGCCATTCACTCCACGACACTGACATTCATCAACATCAGTACAATTCTGAAAATGAGTGACTGGAGTGTTAAGAACCCAAAGAGAAATCATAAAGTCAAAGCATATCAGTCCCACCTTCCCCCCCATTAGAAGAAAGGAGGAAAAAAAATTGAAAAGAGAAGAGGAAGAGCAGAGCTTGGAAAAGAATGAATAGTTTCAGTACAAACGAGAGAGAGAGATTGTCCATGTTTGTATGTAAAATTGAAAAAAGAATCCATCCTCCTCATACATTCAATTCAAAAGAAAAAGCAAATAGAAACAGAAACTTGACCTTCGGAACCTTTCTTTAAGCTGAGATTACGAGTAGAGTAAGACATCAATGCATCGTAAGGATAAGATCGCTATACGATTAGAACTTCCAAACTAATATAACTGTTACGATGCTGGCCAATAACGAAGTACAAATACAAAAGGAAAGACAACGCCGACCCAATTGTAAAAGAAATGAAAGAACTTGAAAGGAGAAAGAGATAAAGAAAGAAGACAAAAGAAAAAAGAAAGAAGAAGAAGATGTGCACCAGCAATAGACCATGGACCGATCCCCCTTCTCTCACCAACCAATCTCCTCCTCCTTATTTCCCCCAATCTCATTCAACAACAAATAATAATAATAACAATGAATGGCTGAACCAGAACCAATGTCCGAATCTCCCTCTTACTGCCAGCACAACATCAGGTCCACCATAGCGATGACCTCCACCTCTATCCACCTCGGACAGCTGATGGCTATGGCGGACTACTAGGGGCCCTGCCCCGATGTTTCCAAAAGACAATGCAAAAGCAGATATGTCCTCTACACCTCAGGCCGCCATGCCTGACTCTGCCCTGAAGCCTTTTTGATGCAGCGCTACCCCTCTCGGGGCCTTCCAGATGCATCGCCTACCAAGGAGATGAAGATGGTGTCCACCATAGCCAGGTAAGTACCCCTGGCCACTCTCCTCCTAGTCACCTTCTTCCTCCTCCTCCTTCCTGGCGCTGTCCACCATAGCCAAGGTGGAAGCCCACGTGCTCCTACTCCTGGAGCTCCACACAGCGCTCTTCCAATCAGCGCTCCAGCAGCGCGATGGCCAAACTTGCACACCGCAAATGAGGAAGAGCAATGAGCTTTTCCCTCATGATATAGCGGGCAACCAGCCTCCTGGGCGGTGACTTCCAGGCCGCGCGGCCTCCCAAGCAACCCGTATTTCCTCCCTTTCTGGGAGAAACACCATTGCAGGTCTGATACCATCTGCTACAGGCCCTAGAATCAGACTACAGGACTGGTACTTTGACCTGGGCCTACCGGACCATCTAAAATTCACGCGGCCTCCAACGGTACTAACATTTTGTCTTCTTCTGCTAGGGCTACCACTACTCAAGTACTACCCTAAGCTACGTGGCCTACACTACCCCCACTTAAGTGCTAACTTACACTACTTGAGTGTCCCCTGCTGCAACCCTCAAAGTCACGTCCACAGGTAAGTACCAGCCCCGAGGGCCTCCCAAACAAACGAGTACCCTCAGGCAGGCAGGCACTCAGACAGGCACAGAGAAACCAGCAAGGACGCACACACACAGACTTAGAAATTTCAGCAGAAAGCGGGAATCTCAGCACAGCAAATATTCCAGTGGCAAAACTCAGAAATCAGCAGTACTCTCAATCTGTGCTTTTGCAGGTCATTACACTACCCCCCCCTCAAGAGCGAGGTCCCTCGAGCGAGTAATTCAATCTGAGAGCCTGCAAAATGAATCGTACGCGAATAAGGCAAGGAGAGCTGCTGTATGCTCATAGGCAGTGAGAGTCGGAGAGAATTTTGGCTGCTCATCTGAAACTATCCCGCGTTCATAAGCTTGACAACTCGAGGTGCGTTCTTCAGTAAAGTCTTTCTTAGAAATCCAGTAGAGATCATCTAATGGGTGATATAGAAAATGAACTTGATGTTGTCTGTTTCTCCCTTTCACACTGTCCAACAATTCTGTCAACCTCATGACCGCCGCTGATAGCACTGGGGATCATGGGCCCACGATAGGGATAAGATCATACTTGCGGCGCATATGTGAGGTGCGCTGCGCAGTGCGGTGCGCGCGGAAGGTGCGCTGATCGTTAATGCGCAAAAAAAAAAAGAAAAAAAAAAAATAGAAGGAGAAGAAGAAGATAAAAGATGTTATGATTTGGTTGTCTGTCAAATTCAATCAACACTCGCACTCCGACAATCTCGCACATGCCCATACATGCATAAGAAGAAGGGGAGAGGAGACAGAGTACACCCTGCACATGGACAGAGCAGACAGCGGAAAACAGTTACATGCAGGTGTGGAGATAACACAAAGTGTTTCTCACTCTCTGACAATACTCCCAACAATCAATCACAAGAAGACACTGGCGAGGATAACACAAGAACATAACCAACTTTGAGCCAATCTGAACCAATAATCGTCCCAGAGTTTGTCCCAGTATCTCGCCACCACTGAACTCCACACTCCACTCTCACACTCACACCCAGTTAGTTGCGCTACCCTAGATGAGCCACCCTGAGGCCAGCGCCAACCACCAAGATGCAGAACAAGACCAGCGATGAAGTCCTCAGTGCCGATGTAGGAACTCTGACGATGAAAGCTGCAGCTGCAATGACTTGCTGATTTCTGCCGCCAAGATTGACTGCGAGGCTGTACACTAACCTTAGGGTTAGTTTTGTAAATTTTGTATGGCTGAGGGCTAACCGAGAAACCTGCCTGTTTGGAAATTCGTGAGGGACAGATCTGCAATTCCGGGAAAAAAATACAGGCCCCGTACTAATCGAATTTCTACAGCTACCCTAACTGCCTATAGCAGGCCCGGGCTACCCTAGGACAGACAGGCCCTAAGCGGCCTATACTGCTATACGGTCCTATAGCCTATAGCCGGGTCCGGTAGAGGCCGAGAGGCCGAAAAACAGCAACGGTACCGGTAGGTCCAGTCA